TATACTATTCCTGACAACAAGAATAATGGTCATAATTTCTGCTTGAATATACCTTACAGGTATAATACATGGCCTTATGTTACCTAAGTCCGACCTGTAATATATCGATTATCTGCTTGTATTAGATAAATATAGTTTATGGACTGGCAAGAAAAGTTTTATTTTGAAGTAATTATAAAACGAAGCAATTTCTGGAAATATCGGCAGCAAAATAGAAAATTCTCAGATGGAAAAAGTCTAATAATAACCTTAAATATTTCATAAAAGAAGATTTTGAAATTCTGAAACAGTTCCGGGACTCAAAGAACCGGTCGAAAGGATCGCCAATCATCCCACGTCGCTTTTGCACAAATCAGTGGGCACAAGTGAAACGAAACAATGTATAAATATTATCAAAGATGACACGCCTCGGGCATTTATAAATTTGATGTAAAATTTATTAAGGAGAACTGTCTGTAGTTAACTGTGTTTTAACTCACTTGATTGATTTTATTTTCGTCTCTGGATTAGACCAAGTGCTATCGAAAAATCAAAGTATGTTGGCTATAAATGGAAACTGGAATCATATTATTTTCAACTGTCTCGCAAAAGGCAATACAATTAAATATTTTAGGTAATTTGAGGAAAAGGTTAGGTATTAACAATTTTATTTTCGCTACCTTGTTGCTTACACGACATGAAATTAACCTGGGGATCGGAATATTTGATTTAAATTCACCAACTTTTTACACACATTTCATTAAATTAATCACGAAGCGGGTGAAAAAACGTATATTTGCTTCACTAATGTGAATCTGTTTATTGATGGTTATTCGAAGTTTAAAGCTCCTCACCCTAATTTTGAAATGGAAATTAACCTTGTTTATGTTGGTTTTGGGTCTTGCAAGTAACCATACATATTCTGGTAAAATTGGATTAATACAAAGTTTGAGAGCCAGGAATTAAGGAAAGCAATCCCCTTTAATTAATTACTAACTAGGAACGAGAACTTTTTTAGGGATTTGAAAACATTTTTTGCATACAGCCAAAGAAAAAAATTCCAGTTATACACCGTGCACCATATAAAATCCAGAAAAATAAACGCAAATATTATTCCCATATTTTTCACTTTTCAGGCGGCTAATAAATTTAATGTTTAACTTTAATTAGCAAAATATACATATTTCAACCGTTCTAGAGTTTCTTTGTACAATTATCTTATGGGAATGCTTCGGGGTTTTGCAAAATTAAATGAGAATAGTTACGGTCCGTTACTAGGAGAATAGCAGCTGCTGCAAAATTAAACTACAGATTAGGTGTAGTGGCCGGCACAACTGCACGTATTGAGCAAATTTGAACACCTCAATTATTCGAAGCAATTGAAATGAAACGGGGAATTAACAAACGTTGTTCATCAAATGCATATTAAATCCTCATCTCTCCAAAGTAAATTTGGAGAATGCTTAGCGAAGAATGTACTGGTGACGTTAAATAACTTTTTTATAGACTTTAATATACCAAATAAAGTACATTTATTCATACATTTTTCATACAACAATTGCGGAAACAAACGGGAAACAAACTCATACAGTGTAAAATTAGAGGTGCATGAAAAAACCACCTAATTCATCGTATGTATTTTAAGAAACTCTATGCAAAATAGAAAATGGATATCTTTTTGTCATGGAATTTTTGATATTGTGCATATGCGAGACTTAACAAAAGTTCGCTTTTCGCACCTTAAATAATCCTGATGTTTGTGCCGTTTTCCATTTGCACCAGCAGGTAGTGAATGTTTTAGAGCGCCTATAAAAAACTCCTTTACGCCTTTTATGCACAAATAAAATGTCATAGTCAGAGTTAGAAGCCTTAAAATAAGGGAAAAATCTTGAAATGTTCTGATATCGTGGGAAACATGTAATATTAGGAATTCGCGTTGATAGTATTAAATTGTTTTGTCTAAGTCAATTTATTAATTAGTCAATCCTGAACTGGAATTTAAATTCCTGCTCTAATTAATAGATACCGTAATACGTATTCCTGCTTGTTCCTGTCATTTCCCTATATTAAACGAAATTCTCCTGTTTGCCAATTAATTTCACGTTGAAGCTGTTATATCTTTAACACATTAGTTGGAACATACCAAAATATTTCGGGTGAATTGAAACAGGAAAATTGCTCTTTTAGTGACAAATAACCTTTTAAAGCTGCACAACTGTTACTTTTATTAGATGGTTAGCTAGCAGTAACATTTTGTGTTCCTTTAAATCGGACAAACCGGACAAATTTTACTTTCGTACAGGACAATATCTAACAAAAAACGAAATTTCCAACCAATTCTACATCGACTCGCTTCATTTTAAATCCATAGATTAACTTATTTTAGAAAGGTTTCAATTAGATCAGTTGTTAACTAATAAACATTTGAGTTCATAAAAGGAACCCTCAGTGACCACAATGGACGGTTAGTCAGGTCAGAAAACACAGAATATTTTTCTGTTCTGCTTATTCTGATAATATGTAGTTAGATTATTAAAAGTTTAATTTTAACATTATTATTAATTATTTTTGAGAATATTTTTGAGTAGATTTCAATTTAAATAGGTTTTGTCTTAAATAGTATTCATATTTTTGGCTTAAATTTGAGGTAGAAGATAAAACAGATATCGTTATCTAACTCATCGAACATGTTGCACCTATCCGTTTAAAATAATCAACGAATGTTTAAGTAAGACTTGTAAATGTTTGATAAAGCAGTTTGGTTCATTATATGTCTTCATAAAATTTCATTATATTTCTCTGATTAGGTTCATTACTTCCGCTACTACATGTTTCATGCATAATTTTGTATTTCATTTTTTTCTGAAAAGACTTCAATGTTCATTTTATTTATAAATGTACACCAAAAAATTTCAATTTAAACTCAATTGGAGCTTGCTGATTTTCCCTAAATACAAGCATATGTTGGGAACGCGAGGCGATGAGCATTACGACAATACGTTAGAGAGATTAATTAAATTCCAACCTACTAATGAAAGATTATCCATTAAACTTAAATGAAACAATTTAATACTGGTAGCAACGAAACCCAACCCAATTTGCTTACATTTGCTAATTTTAAGCACATTTCATTATTTAATGGAAACAAGTGTGTAAGTAGTTTCAATTAAGCCCGGTACACTGAAAGCTCAAATTAATTTCCTATTCCAAAGTGGTAATAAGCTCTGAAGCTTTCACAAAATTTTGACAATAGAAGGATTGACATCAAAGCTGTTCTGAAGCACGCAAAGTTATGCATGATCATGTTTTTACAAGGAAATTAAGTGCGGAAAATTCACAGGCGACCTTCAAATTATCTTAAAATTTTTCAAGCTTTATTAAAATTCTGATGTTAATTGAGTGGTTATCATTTTCATATTTACATATTTGCTAGGAAAAATTGTACAAATGTATGTAAAACTTGAAAAAGAAAAGAGAAACAAGAAAAATTATTCAACTGACAAAGAACCAATTGGAGATTGTTACGAGACCCTTTGTAGCTTGGGAATTCATGCCTACTTTAATGTTATGATGAATTAAACATTTTCTCGGACAACACAACCTTCTTAGAGTAGCATAAAGCAGTTAGTTGTTGGAAAGTTTTAGGAGCATCAGCAAACTGAAATATATTGGCTGCGAATCGGACCTTTATTCTGCAAAGCAAACATTACAACCTGCATGAAAACTTCGGACTTGATTCAAAAGTTTCAGCGATTTAAAGTTTCGGCACAAAAGTTTAGGGCTCCAATTTTAATTAAGTGTTGGTTAAGTAAATTCGGCTGAATATTTTTAAGGGAATATTCTCTCAACACGCTTGACTTGGCTTAAGCAATCGCTTATGCAGAAAAGAACTTTTTGAAATAGTTACGGTCGATTGGGATATTGGGAAAATAATCCGCATGTTGGCAATATGAGATTTGAGAATGTTGCAATTTTATAATTTATTAATAAATTAAAATATTAAAACTGCTTGTCCCTCAGACAAAATCGCTCAAATTGATTTATTTACAACATTTATGTACAATCTACTTGCATTCAGACACATGTCGAATTTGTGTCGCATTAATTAATCGATTTAAATAATTTTGTTGATATTTTATCATGTGGAAGTTATTTTATGAAACAATGCTCCAACGCAATCATTATTATTTAGCTGAGTGACTACGAACTGCATGTATTAGCCACAAAAAACTTTTGCACGTAACGGAAACTAGTTTATTGGATTTGCCTGATCCGGTATTCAAACAGGACAAATGTACAACAAAAAAGATGATGCAAATAGAAACATATTGGAATGAAGTGAATTGGCTGTTTGTGTTGTTCCCTTTGGAACGATCGGCAAAAGCATGTTTTTATTGGGGACGCATAAAGAAGTTTATTTGCATCGAAACGATCTCAATGACTTTTTGCAAATCTAGCGGATGCAAATTAAAGCTTTGTTCAATAGCCAAAAAGTGAATTTAATTGAAAATACTTGTGCGTTTCACAGGTGTAATGTTCTTCATTAGGAGTCAATGAGTTTGGCTCTTACCAATGTTAATATGGAAAGGTTTTATTGATTTGAAATGTTCAGGACGCTTTCACGAAAAGCTGGATTAATAATTTAATTAAACACATTTAAAATATGTATCCGGATTTTTTAAGATAAAGAAACTGCAGGGAAATTGAGCAAAAAGAGAAATATGTGCAAATTGCTAAATGGGCAAAAATGTACAGTTATTGGTCACATTTCTATAGTTATTAGACAAGGTTCCGACAGTAATTGACCATGTGAATTGGAAGGGTAATAGTGCTACAAAAATGAAAAAACAAATTGATTTAATACTTAAACAAATAAATTTGCTTATCTTCATTACTTATCTTTATTGGTTAAAGACAGTTGGTATAATTCAGCTACAGTTTTCATTCTGCACAGAATTTTCAAAGTGCTGCATTCAAAAGAAAATTATTAACTTTATATAAAGCTTCTTTCTTTTTTTCAGAAATTTGGGCATTATGGGTTGGGACCAGTGGCTGACCATCTAAAGAGCGAGTTAGACGACCCATAAAAACAAACTAAATATTCAACATGCTGCAAAACCTGACGCAAAGAATTTTAAACTGAAAATGAGGTACTAAATTGAGGAGGAAAATCTTTTGATCATGATCACTAAGGATATCCAGTTGGTGACAAGCTACTCTCCTTTGAACAATACCAATCTAAGTGACTATCAGACAATCGACAACGTGAAAACCAGTATCGCATCCGATTCATTTTCCTGCTTAGAGTTGCAATCGGATAAAATTAATTTTTTTCGTTTTATCACTAATGGAGTACTATTGAATTTTGTTGGAGTGTTTGGTCTGATGGGAAACATGATATCGATGATTATCTTGTCAAGACCGCAGATGAGATCCAGCATAAATTATCTACTGATCGGATTAGCCAGGATTGATACCGGGCTGATTATTACCAGTATGCTGCTGTTTGGATTGCCAGGGATTTATCCATACAGTGGGTCATTATTCAACTACTATTACAAGTAAGTATTTGGGAAATTATAAAGTATTTTTTGCAAAAGCATTATTCCGGTCGTAACTCTTTCTAGGCAATTCGACGATTTTCAATTGTCCTGAAGATCTAAATCTCAATTAAATTAACTGACATTTAGAAGTAAAAACAGGAAAATAAAACGCGCAAATTTAAAAAAATCTTAAAATAAACCGGCATTATGACCATTCAACACTATTGCGATCATCATTGAGTGGGGCATTATGAGTAAACACCCTGCACAAAATTTCGTAGTTTTCGTCCAATCCGCTTCTGAAACATTCGACCGTTCCATGATTTTGAAATAGACTTTAAACTGGTGAATTTTTCATTTTAAAAGCGGATCGACATATACAGTGTTATTCACGCTATACGGC